TATATATATATATATATATATATATATATATTTCTTTATGTGTCTCTTTCTTTGTCTCTTTGTGTCTCTTTTTTCTCTTTTATCTCTCCCTATTTATATCTCTGTTATCTGTCTCCTTATCTGTCTCCTTATCTCTCTCCCTGTCTGTCTCCTTATCTGTCTCCTTATCTGTCTCCTTATCTCTCTCTCCTTCCTTATCTGTCTCCTTATCTGTCTCCTTATGTGTCTCCTTTTTGTGTCTCCTTTTTGTGTCTCCTTTTTGTGTCTCCTTTTTGTGTCTCTTTTTTTCCCCCTATAATACATAATATAAAAACCTAATAATAAACAACAAAATAATAAATATAAATAAATAAATAAATAAATAAAATAAATAAATAAAATAAATAAATAAAATAAATAAATAAATATATTTATATATATGTATATGTGTATACAGGGAGAAGATCCATTTAATTTACGTTATGTACGTATAATATCTTCCTTAGATGAGATAGAGGAATATATAAAAGAGGAGCCAACACCTCCTGCTGCTGCTGCTGCTGCTGCTGCTGCTGCTGCTGCAGCAGGTGCAGCAGGTGCAGGAGGAGGAGGAGGAGGAGGAGGAGCAACAGGAGTAGGAGGAATAACAGGAGGTAATAATAGAAAAAAACAACACCCTCCTTGTGTCCTATTAGCTGCACCAGGTATGCTACAAGGAGGTGTATCCTTAGAGGTATTCAAGTATTGGGGAAAAGAGAAGAAAAATAAGATAATATTTACTGGTTATACAGTAAGAGGTACAATAGGGGAGGAGGTAAGAAGAGAAAAAGAAAAGATATTAATACATAATAATAATATATATAATATAAATGATGAATATAATATAAATAATAATATAAATAATAATATAAATATAAATAATAATATAAATAATAATAATTATATAATAAGGAGATGCTTAGTAGATAATATATCTTTCTCTGCACATAGTGATTATAAACAAACAAAAGAATTTATTAATGAATTAAGACCTAATATATGTATATTAATTCATGGAGAAAAAAAAGAAATAAATAAACTAAAAATACAATTAATTCATGATTTCCCTTCCTTAGCTGTATTTACACCCGAAATCTTACAAACTATACATATTAATTTTAATCATAATTATATTAATAATAATAATAATAATAATAATTATATAAATAATAATAATAATAATTATATAAATAATAATAATAATTGTATAGATATAGATAGTTCTTCTTCTTCTTCCTCCTCTTCTTGTTCTTCTTCTTCCTCTTCTTTTTCTTCCTCTTCTTCTTCTATTGTTAATAATAATAATAATAATAATATAAATATAAATAATAATAATAATAATAATAATAATAATAATAATAATAATAATATAATATATTATGATTATAGTCCCTTAATAATAAAAGGAAAAGCAGCAAAAAAAACAATTAATTATATATATAATTATAATCATGATAAAAAAAAAAGAAAAAAAAAAAGAAAAAAAAAGAATAATAATAATAATAATAATAATAATAATATAAATAAACAACAAGAAGGAGAAGAAAAAGGAGATAATAAAGAAGAAGAGATAGAGGAGGAAGAAGAAGAGGAAGAGGAAGAGGAAGAGGAGGGGACAGAAGAAGAAGAAGAGGAGGAGACACAGGAGGAAGAAGAGGGGACAGAAGAAGAAGAGGAAGAAGATAATAATAATAATAATAATAATAATAATAATAATAATAAAGAGGGAGAAGGAGAAGAAGAAGAAGAAGAAAAAGAAGAAGAATTAGATTGTTTGCTACTGCAGCAAGACGGAGATCATCCTGTGCTGCTAGCAGCAGCAGAAACGGAGACACTTGCTGGTGTTGCTTGCTGCTGCTTGCTGCAGCAAATAAGTGTCTCCTTTCCTCTTCCTTTATATGTACTTATGCATGCAGCTAGACAAATCTTTGATGATGTACAGCCTGTTCTCTGTACATGCAGCAACAGCAGCAGCAGCAACAGCAGCAGCAGCAGCAGCAGCAGCAGCAGCAGCAAGAAGGGTACAAAAGATGATGGTTGCTGCAACACATGCGGCTTTGTTGTTTCTTCATGTGTTACTGTACAACGATTACCTGATGAGCAGCAACAGCAGCAGCAGCAGCAGCAGCAGCAGCAGCCGGAACAGCAGCAGCAGGAGCAGCAGCAAAAGGAAAAGGACAAGGAGCAGCAAGAAGAGGAGCAGAGGGAAAAGGAGCAACAAGAACAGTTGCTACAGGAGCACCTTCAGCAGCAGCAGCAGCAGGATGAGGAAGAGGAGGAGGAGCAGCAGCAGCAGCAGCAAATAGTACGTTATAATGAATTAGAGGCAGTAGCATTATTAAAGGCAGTAGCTGCTGCACCTCCTGCATCTGCTGCTCTATCTCCTGTTGCTGCAGCAGCAGCAGCAGCAGCAGCAACAGGAAATATAGAGGTAAGATGGGAGTCTAGTCCTTCTGCTGATTTATTAGCTGACTCTATCCTCTTCTTATCTTGTGATTTGCTACGTCTACGGATTTGCTGCGGAGGAGACGCAGCAGATGCATGCAGCAGCAGCAACAGCAGCAGCAGCAGCAGCAGCAGCAGCAGCAGCAGCAGCAGCAAGGAGGCGATGCAGCAAATAGAGCTGCTGCAGGTTGTTAAGCAACATCTAGAGGAACAGTATGGGCCTATTAAGATTTGTATAAGGCAAAGAGGCAAACAAATAGACACAGGAGGAGGAGGAGGAGCAGCAGCAGCAGCAGCAGGAACTCCAGCAGCAGCAGCAGCAGCAGCAGCAGCAGCAAGTGGAGCAGCAGCACTAAGTGCAGCAGGTGGGATGATTAGAGAGGTGTCTATAGAAGAAGCAGCAAACATAGATGAAGATATTTACTCTTTGTGTCTTGTCTTCCATACAGCAGCAGGGAAATCAGCAGCAGCAGCAGCAAATGCAGCAGCAAATGCAGCAGCAGCAACAGGAAAAGCAACAGCAAAAACAGAGCCAGCAGCAGCAACAGATGATGACAGATTGGCAATCAAGTCAGAATCTGCTGCTGCTGCTGCTGCTGCTAAAGGATCAGATGCAGCAGCAGCAGACAAGGATACAGCAGCAGCAACTGCAGCAACTGCAGCAACTGCAGCAGCAGCAGCAGATGGTAAGGAGGGAGGTGTCTCCTCATCTATTGAGGAGACAGTTGAAGTTTGTGTCGACTTCACAGAGAGACAGGTACGCTGCTGCTGCTGCTGGTCCTGCTGCTGCTGCTGCCGTGCTGCTGCTGCTGCTGCAGTTGCTGCTACTGCTGCTGCTAAGTATATAAGTACAGTGTGTATATGTGTATTATTTGTGGTGTATATGCAGGTCTACTGCAGCAACCCCACACTGCAGCAAAAGGTTAGGAGTACGGTAGCAGCAGTAGAGAAGGGACTCCTTCCTGCTGTACTCCCATGGTAATTCTCCTGCTGCTGCTGCTGCAGCTGCAGCAGCAGCAGCAGCTGTTGCTACATTTGCATGTGCAGCTGCAACAGCAGCAGCAGCAGGATTTGCTGCTGCAGCTGTTGCAGCAGCAACATATGCTGCAGCACTAGCAACAGCGTTAACTGGCAACATACGCAGAGACCTGCAGAATTTGCTGCAGCAGCTGCTGCTGCTGCTGCAGCTGCAGCAGCAGCATTAGCAGCAAATAGTTCGTTTGCTGCTGCCGATATAGTTGTCGGCATTTTGCTGCAGCAGCAACCGCCGCGTTGTACAGACACAACAAAATATATTTATTTATTTTTATTTAATTATTTTTATTTATTTTATTTATTATTAATTAATAATTAATAATTAATAATTATTTATTTATATTTAATTATATAAATATATAATAAAGGAGACAATAATAAATAAATAAAAAAAGAACTTTTTGTCTCCTTTTTGCTAAAAGGAGACAAAAAGGAGACACTATAGACACATAAAGGAGACAATAAAAGGAGACAAAAAGAGACAATAAAAGGAGACAAAAAGAGGCAAAAAAAGGAGACAAAAAGAGACAAAAGGCGACAAAAAGGTGACAAAAGGAGACAAAAGGAGACAAAAAGGAGACAAAAGGAGACAAAAAGGAGAAAAAAGAAGGGGGTTGTTTGTATTAGGTTATTTTTTTTCCTTTTTTTTTGTCTCCTTTTTGTCTCTCTTTGTTGTCCCTTCTTTATTCCTTATTTATTATTTTATTGTCTCCTTTTTCTCTCCTTATTGTCTCCTTATTGTCTCTCCTTATTGTCTCCTTATTGTCTCCTTATTGTCTCCTTGTTATTTTTTGTCTCCTTATTGTCTCCCTTGCCTCTCCTTATTAAGAAATAAGAAAAAGACAATAAGGAGACAATAAGGAGACAATAAGGAGACAATAAGGAGACAATAAGGAGACAATAAAGAGTTAATAAGGAGAGGCAAGGGAGACAATAAGGAAACATAAAACAATTATTGTCTCCTTATTGTCTCCTTATTGTCTCTTTATTGTCTCTTTTTTGTCTCCTTATTGTCTCCTTTGTCTCTTTTGTCCCTTTTGTCTCTTTTTATTGTCTCCTGTCTTTTTTTATTGTCTCCTTTTGTCTCCTTTTGTCTCCTTTTGTCTCCTTTTGTCTCCTTTTGTCTCCTTTTGTCTCCTTTTGTCTCTTTTTGTCTCCTTTTGTCTCCTTTTGTCTCCTTTTGTCTCCTTTTGTCTCCTTTTGTCTCCTTTTGTCTCTTTATTGTTTCTTTTTGTCTCTTTCTTATTTTTGTCTATTTATTGTCTCTTAAGGGGTAAAAAGACAGGAAAAAGAGACAAAAGGAGACAAAAAGGAGACAAAAAGGGAGAAGAAAAAAAGGAGACAAAAAAAGAGACAAATAAGGAGACAAATAAGGAGACAAATAAGGAGACAGAAAGGAGACAGTTAATTATATATATAAGGAAAGAAATAAGGAGACAGCTAAGGAGACAAATAAAGGAGACAATTAATTATATATAAATAAGGAGACAAAAAGGAGACAAAAAAGGAGACAAATAAGGAGACAAATAAAGGAGACACTTTATTTATTGTATTTATATTTATTTACTTGTCTTTTGTTTATTTATTTATTTATTAATTTATATATATGTGTCTTTCTTCCTTTTTATTTGTATTTATATCTACGTGTCTTTTTTTATTTATTTTATTTATTTATTGTCTTTTATTTATTTATTTATTTATTTATATTTATTTACTTATTTATTTATTTATTTAATTATTTATTTATTTATTTATTTATATATGTATATCTATATACATATACATTTATATAATATATATGTATATATAATATATATATGTATATACTTGTCTTATATACATAAATACAGTATTTATTTATATTTATATTTATTATTTATTTATTTATTTATTTATATTTATTTATTTATTTATTTATTTATATTTATATTTATATTTTTCTCTTTTTGTCTTTTTTTGTCTTTTTTTTATTTTTTCTTCTCTTTGACGACAAAAAAAAATATTTTTTTTTTTTTTTTTTTTTTTTTTTTTTTTTTAATTTTTTTTTT